GACCTCCATTATTTGAATGTCAGCAGACAGCAAGAAGCCTCCCAGATCTCCAGATGCATTTGAGATATCAAAAAAGTACTCCAGATTGTTGTTCAGCATGGGGGTGAGTAGAAAATGAAGGCTAATCATGTTTTGGGTGTACTATTCCTTTAAAAACATGGGTGACTCTTAACTTTCTGCTTTGGAATGCAGACAAAACAGAAGTTATAGTCTTGGATCAAAGTCTCTGAAAAAGAAAATTAGTCAGTCACTTCATCTAGATGGGATTAAATTGATCTCGGGTAGGAAAGTAAAAAATCTTGACTGTCATTTAAATCTCATATCCAAGAGGTTCCTAATCGGCAGCTTTACTAGTGGTTCCTAGAATCTCTAAAAGTAGAATGGGATTAGTTATCAGCCACTAAAAGTAGCTCCTCTTATGGACTTTTAGTCCATAAGGCAGACACCTCCTTGAACCCCAGTCAGCCTCGGCAGATGGCTGCTCACACACAGCCTGGTTCTGATTCTGATGGAGGTTTATTCCTGTTCAAAAGGTAATATCCTCTGCATTGAGGGATTGCTGAAGAGTCAATAAGTCAATTAAAATGGTTGGTATTCCTTAGATATAAAACTTAAGGAGGTTTCCTAAAGGAGGAAGGGAGTCTATCGAAGGGGTTTGAATACTTATGCAAGCTGCAGCAATTTTATTTTTTTCTAAAGGAGCATGTAACTGCATAACGTTTATCATTTTTAATTAAATGAATAATCAGGCTTTAAACAACGTTTGATGATTTTTATTAAATGCAGTGAATCTGTTGTTTTTCTTTAGATGCAAACATTATTTAATAAAGTTGCGCACCCCAGAATTCTGAAAACACCTGTTACAGGATCTGAAAAAAAATAAAAACTTCATTAAGATCCATTTTCTTGACTCCTTCACTGATGAGAGTCTGCATGTTTGTCTCTTACTGAGTTAATCCAGTTGATGTAGGCAGACACACGGGTGAAAACGGTGGGCTTCTGAGGATAGTTGCAACCGTAGCCAGACACAAAGCTAGCAATGCCATGCACATAGTACTTGCCGCTAACCTGGCAGTTAAGTGGACCTCCAGAATCACCCTGATAAAACACAAACAGGACAATTAAAATAAAAATGGTCAGAACCACCAAAATGAGACAGAAGTTGATGGAGCAACACTTAAATAAGCTGACTGTCCTTTCTAGATAAACTCACATTACATCCAGACTCATTACCGCCACCACCGCACACCATAGTGGTCTTCACAGTACTACCCCACCAGCCACTGCTGGAGCAGGTCTTGTGGTCCACCAGAGGAAGGTAGGCTTGCTTTAGCTGAGTAGACAGGCTACCACCAGCTATTAAAAGTGACAGAATAGGATTTAGAAAAGGGAGGAGACTTAAAGGAGAATTCCGGTTTTTAACACTTTTAGCCCATTTTCTGTAGTGTCCAGGATGAAATCGAATGATCGACACCAAAATTTTGACAATNGCTAAAAGTGTTAAAAACCGGAATTCTCCTTTAAGGAGCTGGAACCAGGAGGAGGGCGTCAGTTCGTTAATGCCACTGCGTTGGTACAGACCAAACCCAAACCTTGTCCTGGTGACTCTAACCCTTGCCTAAACCCTGCTCTGAACCTTTCTTGCAGAACCCCTCTCTCTGATCCTGAGACCCAGCCTGGAACCATAGATCTTGGATCCCCATCTGAAAACAACCAGGAACCTGAGAGGGATCTCGGGTTAATCCATAGCTCAGCCCTCCTACCTGCGCTCACCTGCCTGTCCACCCTCCAACCACCGACCAGGGAGAGAGTACTGGTCAGCACTCGAAGCACTGGGGACACTCCCCACAAGATCTCTACAGTGAGTGTCAGCCCAGCATAATCCTCCAGCAACTGTTTCTATACATTCACCAGTCTCCTCATCTTCTCTGCAGAAGCCCAGAAGAACCTGACCAGACCATACAGCTTCCTGTTCATACCCACAATCTTGTTTTCAATAAACCTTTTAAGCTACAACCCGCCTCTTTAGTTGCTCTCGTTCTGAGTCACCTTCAATTATGACACTTTTAGAGTGGGCCAAAATCCCTCCTGCAGTTTGTGCAAACTTGGTGAAAAACTACAAGAAACATTTGACCTCTGTAAATGCAAATAAAGGCTTCTGTACCAAATATTAAGATTGATTTTTCTCAGATGATTGAATACTTATTTGCAGCTCTATTATACAGTTAAATAGTCAAAAAACATATAGTGAGATTAATGTATTTTTTTTTTTTTTTAGATTATGTTTCTCACAGTGGACATGCATCTACGACTATTTCAGAATCCACCATGATTTCGAAGTGGGAGAACTTTCAAAATAGCAGGGTGACAAATAATTATTTTCCTCACTCTATAACTCCATCTTCCCCTGAGCATTAGGTGCCCTCGAATAATGCCTGTCTTTTGCTGTGTGCACTTAGTGTATATTTTATTGACCTATCCCAGAGAAATGCAGGATATCCAGCTCAGTTTTGACAAAGTGAGTCTGTGAGAAGATAGCTGTGTCTTTCACAGGTGGCTGGTTTTTGTCCTTTTAAAGGAATAGTACACCCAAAACATGATTAGCCTTCATTTTCTACTCACCCCCATGCTGAACAACACTCTGGAGTACTTTTTTGATAT